TTCGCCACTGATCGGCTCGTTACCTCTTGGGCGGTCGGTCACGTCTCTGTTACGCACTGTTGGCAGATACAGTACTGGGCATGCACTGGCTCCTGAATATATCTGAACCTGCTCCAGTGTTGGTCAAGTCTGGCCTTGAATGAGCTCACACTCGGTGCTGTCGCAATGCTCTCTGGCAGACTGTTCCAAGAGTTCACAATTCTCACTCCGAAAAAGTTTGCACTCACAGTTTTCTGGACTTGTGGCTTCTTCAACCTTGAGCTGTGACCCTTGTGGGGCGGACGTCCGCCAGCTCTAAGTATGTACATTCGACTAAGTAGTGCCCCCTGAGATGTTTATACACTTCGATTAGGTCGCCCATTGCCCGTCTGTAGTATAAGCTTGCAGGTGCTCTAATCTCTCTGGGTAGCTGAGGTTCCATGGAGCAGTCTGGTGTCCCTCTTTGGACACTTTCAATCAATTGACAGTCTCTGGCATACCGCGGGGACCAGACGGGGTGACAATACTCCAGATGGGGAAGCAAGCACCTTACTCTTGAAGATCGTGACAAGCGACGGACCATCCAGATATGTAAAGACCTTCTTATAAGACCTACTAGTTACGTAAGACAAATTCCTTCCAGCGTTAATTGAACGACCGTTCTCTTCTCCTCTACCAAGAGAGAGGGAGGAGAAAGGGAAGGCAAGGTGGAGGTCGGGGAAGGGGACGGGTTCTTTTCAAACTTCAGATTTATCTCATGCAGGAGCAGGGTGGAGAAGCAGGGCTGCGGTGAAGGGTTAAAACCAGAGTAAAGTGAACAGCAAATCATAAGCAGACCTGCCTGACTACCACTACCACGCCTCCACCACCACACTACCACCACCACGACCCGCCACACACATACTACCACGAGTTCACCTCACTACCACCACCACTGGCCCACCACACCACCACCACCAGCCCACCACACACACTACCACCAACCCACCACACCACCAACACTGGCCCACCACACCACCAACACTGGCCCACCACACACAAAACCACTGACCCACCACGCACACAACTACAAGTCCACCACACCACCACCCACTGGCCCACCACACACTACCACGAGTCTACCACCACCACCAACACTGGCCCACCACACACTAGCACTGACCCACCACACACACGACCACTGGCCCACCACACACACCACCACTGGCCCACCACACACACACACCACTGGCCCACACCACACACGACCACTGGCCCACCACACACGCCAGCACTGGCCCACCACACACACGACCACTGGCCCACCACACACACTACCACTGGCCCACCATACACACACAGTACCACTGGCCAAACACACACGACCACTGGTCCGCACACACACACACACACACCACACACAACCACACACACACACCACTGGTCCGCCACACACACGACCACTGGTCCACACACACACACACACCACACACGACCACTGGTCACACACACACACACACCACTGGCCCACCACACACACACACTACCACTGGCCAACCACACACACGACCACTGGTCCACACACACACACACACACCACCACTGGCCAACCACACACCACCACTGGTCCGCCACACACACACCACAACTGGCCAACCACACACACACACACACCACACTGGCCCACCACACACACACACACCACCACTGGCACCACACACACACACCACCACTGGTCGGCCACACACACACACACCACTGGACCCACCACACACACACACCACTGTCCACCACACACACACCACACTGGTCACACCACACACACCACTCCACACACACACACTACCACTGGTCCACCACACACACACCACCACTGACCCACCACACACACCATCACTGGTCCACCACACACACACCACACTGGTCCACCACACACACCACCACTGGTCCACCACACACACACCACCACTGGTCCACCACACACACACTACCACTGGACACACACACACACCACTGGTCCACACACACACCCACTGGTCACACCACACACACACACACACACACTGGTCCACCACACACACACCACCACCACCCACACACACACACACCGTCCACACACACACATACCACTGGTCCACCACACACACACCACTGGTCCACCACACACACACACCACACACACACACACCACCACGACCCAACACACACACACATCACTGGTCCCACCACACACACACCACCACTGGTCCACACACACACACCACCACTGGTCCACACACACACACCACTGGTCCACACACACTACCACTGGTCCACCACACACACACTACCACTGGTCCACCACACACACACTACCACTGGTCCACCACACACACACTACCACTGGTCCACCACACACACACACTACCACCAGGATCGCCACACCTGAGCTAATGCGTAATAGTTCGTCTTAATAATCATGAATTAGTTGTTAGTTGTTGTCACTGCTAGTTTGGGTCAAGTTAGGTTTGGTTAAAGTTTAGTGAGGACGTGTGGTTAAGTATAAATTAGATTGGGTTATGCTAGGTAAGCTTAGGTTAGGTTATTTTGGGTTACGGTAAGTTAGATTATGTTTGATAGATTAGTTAGGTTTGATATTTATTTACAGCTCACTCCGAGCCCGTGTGTGTGTGTCACGTGAGAACAACCTCTTCACCTTACCTGGAAGTAGCGAAAAAGACAAAACACGCTAATAGCACATCATAAATACGGGTCGCCAGTAATGCCTATGAAAATATATATAGGCCTATATATATATATATATATATATATATATATATACACAGTATACCTGCACTGCCTATGGGCGAATGTGAATTTGTATGTTTTACTGAATATGTATCTATCTATCTATCTACCTATCAGCCTATAATAAACATGACATATGGTACAATTGCAGAAAATTTATAATTTTTCACATACACATTAATTGATACGTATTGTACAGTATATAAGAATGAAGGTGACTGCAGGTATGGGAAATTTTTATGAATAAACGTGTAAAAACAATTAAAACCAATATAATAGATAACCCCTTCCCGGAAAACACGAGGGTCTGGGTATGTTTATTTTCATTATATAGTATTTTATCTGATCTAAGGAGATATTTTTGTCCTATGACCACCTGGTGTAGCTCTCAAGTACATTTTTAATTAATTGTAGTGACGCTCCGCCATTCCCGGTGAGTTGTCCGACGCCTAGCCAATATATTCCTAAAATTGACCTGAAATGGCTTCTTAGACACACTCGAAATAATTAATTGGCGAAACTAAACTGGTGAAGTCATATCTGGGTCATTAGTTAACACTATGTACTCAAATTTATATATATTTTTTGTATTCAAATCCTATACATGGTTAAATTGTCATCAAAATATTTAATAAAAAAGGTGAAAAATAAAGTCAACAAGTCGGTGTTTTATAAGTTGAGAGAGTTTTATCTTCATAACGGAAAGGATGTATTTTAGATGTCTCCAAGGCTCAATTATAACTAGATTTTTAATGTCTTAATTGTTATTATTCTCGTTTGTTTATGTTGGTGGATATCATGGAACATATTTATAATAGATATACATTTTGACTTCATCATTTTATGTTTAGAAGACGATATTTTGAAATCTATTTGTTTTTCTCTCCCAGTTTTTGTGTTTTTCACCTGCAGTGTCTTATATTCTTATGCCAGATGTGTGTGTGATAATAATAATAACAATAATATACAATGGACAAAAATTATGACACAGTATTAGGTATGGGAACATTGGGAGCAATAGGGGTTGGGTGTAAATGGAACTGCCCAGTATGGCCCGCTACAGTTTCCTCCATTTTTAGGTTCAGATGTTCATATGTTGCAGGCCGTCTCCCCACTGGTGTTGTAGGTGGGGACACGTGGTTGAAGCCCTGCAGTGGGTTAGGAAAGCTTAGGTTTAGAACGCTTTTCATTTATGGTTTGTAATACTATGATTATCAAAATGATCGTCCTATATACAGATCAATCTTAATTAAAAAAAAAACTATCACGTTCATAGATATACTGTATATATATTAAATTCACCCGTACATGAAAACACATTGTAGACGAAGATAATGTTAACAGACTAACAGTCACGTGATAAACCTGTTAATAATCATCCAGACACATTCTCATGTACGTAATATAACGTTCAGCCTCGCCGAGGTGAGTGTGAGTTACACCAATAAAGATAAAAGTTGCCTAAAACCTGTGAAATTAACGAAGGGTTGCCAGCACTGAGGCAGAGGAGGCAAGAGTTGACAGACACGAGTCGCCCGCCCCGACAGCACCACATGAGATCAGATGTTCTCACAATCTTACCACTATAATAATTGGCTATTTCTACGACTACTACTACTACTTTTTTTATTTTTAACGTGGCGTCCAGCCTTCCCCAATAGCCACACCTTCGCCGCCATTTTATTATCTGAAATTTAAATATTCCAGTACAAAAGCAGCTACCCTAGCTGTGTTGAGTTATTAAAGCCAATATTACTACCACACCATTACTACTACCACACCATTACTACTACCACACCATTACTACTATCACTACTACACCATTACTAGTAATGCTACCACACCATTACTACTACCACTACCACACCATTACTACTATCACTACCACACCATTACTAGTAATACTACCACACCATTACTACTACCACTACCGCGCCATTACTACTACCACTACCGCACCGTTCACTACTGCCACTGCCGCACCGTTACTGCTATCGCCACCGTTTACTGCTGCCACTACCGCATTGCTGCGCTACCACCATTACTGCCACTGCCACACCGTTGCTGGTGTGCTGCCACACCATTACTGAGTAATGCTACCACCATTACTGCTGCCGCTGCGCCGTTACTGCTACGCTCACCACACCATTGCTGCTATCGCTGCACCACCATTGCTACTGCTGCCACCATTATTGCTGCCGCACACCATTACTGCCACTGTCTGCTGCTTACTATCGCTGCCACCGTTGCTGCTATCACGCTGCCACATTACTCACTGCCACCGTTGCTACCACTGCACCGTTGCTGCCGCTGCCATGCCGTTGCTTACTGCCACCGTTGCTGGTAATGCTGCCGCACCGTTCACTTCTACTTTCTGCACCGTTGCTGCTGCCGCTGCCGCCATTTGCTGCTTCACCTGCCGTTCTGGTATGCTGCCACGCATTGCGATTCTTCCTGCCGCACCGCACCATTGCCGCTGCCGCCTGCCGTTGCTGCTGCCGCTGCCACGCCATTATGCTGCCACTGCCGCCGTTGCTGCTGCCACCGTTAATGCTGCCGCCGCACCGTTGCTGGTGATCTTGCACCGTTGCTGCTGCACTTACTGCATTACTGGTAATGCTGCCACCGTTGCTGCTGCCACTGCCACACCATTACTGCTATGCTGCACCATTGCTAATTATTGCCACCGTTGCTGCTGCCGCTACCACCATTGCTGGTTCTGCCACGCCGTTACTGCTGCCTCACCACGCCAGTGCTGCTGCCACTGCCACGCATTGCTTTATGCTACCACACCGTTACTGCTGCCGCTGCCGCACCGTTGCTGCTGTCGCTGCCACGCCGTTGCCACTTCTGCACCGTTGCCGCGCCGTTGCTGCTGCCGCTGCCACCAATGCTGCCGCTGCCGCCAGTTGCACTGCACCATTGCTGCTGCCACCGCACCGTTGCTGCTTCGTGCTGCCACCGTTACTGCTGCCGCTGCCACGCAATTGCTGCTCCACTGCTGCAATTGCCGCTGCCACGCCGTTGCTGCTGCCGCCACCACCGTGCTGCTGCCCGCTGCTGCACCGTTACCGCTGCCGCACCGTTGCTGCTGCCACTGCCACACCGTTACTGCTACCGCCTGCCGCACCGTTGCTGCTGCCGCTGCACCATTGCCACTGCCGTTGCCGCACCGTTGCTGCTGCCACTGCTCACGCAATTGCTGCTGCCACTGCACGCCTTTGCTGCCACTGCCACGCGTTACCGCTGCAACGCCGTTACTGCCGCCACTTCCGCACCATTGTTGCTGCCACTGCCCCGTTGCCGCTGCCGCGCCATTGCTGCTGCCGCTGCGCGCATCGTTGCTGCTGACTTTCTGCGCCGTTGCTGTCGCACTGACGCCGTTGCTGCTAATCGCTGCCGCGCATTGCGCTTCTTGCTGCTTCCTTGCGCTGCGCGCCGTTGCCGCTCTGCGCCGTTGCTGCTGCCGCTGCCGTTGCCTTGCTGCCGCCGTTGCTGCTCGCCGCGCATCGCCCGCTCGCCACTGCGTTGCTGCTGCCGCTTTCGCGCCGTTGCGCCGCGCCGTTGCTGCTGCCGCTGCCGCGCCGTTGCTGCTGCTGCACGCCGTTGCTGCTGCCGCCGTTGCTGCTGCCGCTTTCTGCACCGTTGCTGCTGCCGCTTGCGCGCCGTTGCTGCTGCCACTCCACGCCGTGCTGTCCGCTGCCATTGCTGCACCGCTGCACCGTTACTGCTACCACTGCTGCGCCGTTGCTGCCACTGCCGCACCGTTGCTGGTGTGCTGCCACACCGTTGCTGGTGATAACTGCCACCGTTGCTGCTACACTGCACGCCATTGCTGCTGCCACTGCGCATTTTGCTGTCGCTGCCACCGTTACTGCTGCTACCACCGTTATTGCTGCCACTGCCGCACCGTTGCTGCTGCCACTGTCGCACCATTGCTGCTATCGCTGCCACACCATTGCTGCTATCACTGCACACCATTGCTGCTGCCACTGCCGCGCCGTTGCTGCCACTGCCACGCCGTTACTGCCGCTGCCACTGCATTGCTGGTTGTGCTGCCACCGTTGCTGGTAATGCTGCCACCCACATTCTGCTGCCACTGCCACGCCGTTGCTGCTGCTGCTGCCGCACCATTGCCGCTACCGTACCATTGCTGCTGCCGCTGCTGCACCAGTTGCTGCTGCCACTGCCGCACCGTTGCCGCTGCCACGCCGTTGCTGCTGCCGCTGCCGCACCGTTGCTGCTGCACTGCCACGCCGTTGCTGCTGCCGCTGCCGCCGTTGCTGCTGCCGCTGCCGCACCGTTGCCGCACCGTTGCTGCTGCCACTGCCGCCGTTGCTGCTGCGCTGCCGCCGTTGCTGCTGCCGCTTCGCACCGTTGCCGCTGCCGTTGCTGCTGCTGCACTGACGCGCCGTGCTGCTGCCGCTGCCGCCGCCTTGCCACTGCCGCACCGTTGCTGCTGCCGCTGCCACGCCGTTGCTGCTGCCGCTGCGCCGTTGCTGCTGTAGCTACCGCCGCCGTTGCTGCTGCCGCTGCCGCACCGTTGCCGCTTTCGCACCGTTGCCTGCCGCACCGTTGCTTCTTAGCTGCTGCACCGTTGCCGCTGCCACCGTTTTGCTACCGCCTGCGCATTGCCACTCTGCGCTGCCACTGCCACCATCGCCCACTGCGCACCGTTGCTACTGCTGCCACGCCGTTGCCTGCACCATGCCATTGCTGCTGCCACTGCCACCGTTGCTGCTGCCACTGCACGCCGTTGCCCTGCCGCACCGTTGCTGCTGCCGCTGCCACGCGTTGCCTGCTGCCACTGCCGCACATTGCTGCTGCCGCTGCCACACCGTTGCTGCTGCCACCATTGCTGCTGCCGCACCAGCGTTGCTGCTACCGCGCACATTGCTGCTACCACTGCCACACCGTTGCTGGTATGCTGCACACCGTTGCTGTTACTGCTACCACACCGTGCTGCCACTACCACACCATTACTGCTACCGCCACCACACCATTGCTGCTATCTGCTGCCACGTTGCTGCCCTGCCACACCATTATGCTGCTACTCTGCGCCCATTACTGCTGCCACTGCCGCACCATTGCTGCTATCGCTGCCGTTGCTGCTATCGCTGCATTGCTGCTGCTTCTTTCTTGCCGTTGCTGCTGCCACTGCATAGTTGCTACTTTCTTACTTTCTTAGTACCACATTTCTGATTATTTTCCATACCATTGCTGTACCTGCCACCATTACTGCTGCCACTGCCACCATTGCTGTCGCTGCCACCGTTACTGCTACTCGCACTAATTACCACTACCGCAATTTCGCTTTCTTTGCCACCATTGCTTACTACTACCACACCGTTCTGCTACCGCACCATTACTACTGCCACTGCCACCATTACTACTGCCACACCACCATTACTACTACCACCCACCATCACTGTAGATCACCAACTTCAGGGTTTTTTCACGGACGTGTCCTTTCAGTGTTTAAATCTCGTCCGGCCAGGTAGTGAAAATTTTTGACATTGTAGTGTTCTTGAAAATAGATAGATAGATAGATAGAAATTTAAGTGAGCGTGGATTCTGAATTCTCTTGGAGCCTTAGTTAATGCATCCCAAATAGTTTGGTAAATAATTGGTTGTGGTAAATAAAATGGTTGGTAAGAAAATATAATAGCAGTAGTTAATTATATTGATTTGTTAGGTAATAAATTTCTTGGGTAGTGGGTGAATGGTAGGTGAGTAGTATCTTGGTGGGTAGATAGTGTTGAGGAAATATGGTATCGTTAGTGTGTGGTTGGGGTGTTTTTGGGTGGTGGGTGGTTGTTGAGTTGAATCATGAAGATTTGGCTGGGCTAATTCTTTCAAGTAAGAAATTTTGGCGGAATGCCTCACGTGACACTTACCCCGGGAGAACCTGTGTAGCTAACTGGGACCCGAAAGGGGGCACCATTAATTCTTGATTTGGGGTGGTTTGACTTTCTTCAACTCAGCCTTTTGCTTCAAAGTAAACAAATCACTATTATAAGTGGAAGTGAGAGAAAAGGAAACATCCATGATAGGGAGGGGTTCAATTAAACATCCAACAGCCGAACATTGCACCTGTGTTATGGTATTCCCTAGAGGAAGATAGAGATAATGGTCTGGAAAGAGAGAGGAAACACCATCAGGGCCATTATCTCCAAATCTTCGCTATGTGTATATATTGACACAGGTTTAACATCATTGAATTTCAGGCCCTTCAGGCATTCTTCTCAGATATTGCATTCCAACTGCATTCATAATCCTGTGGTTTGAATGGACATCTGTGAGCGGCGGCTTGCTGGAAAGGCGGATGGCCAGGCGTCACCCTCACTCCTGTTGCTTCAGTCATGCAGGGAGCTCCCCAATTTGACTTTGCCTCCTTGGCTCAGGTGCTGCTCTGCACTCTAAAGTTCTTCCATTCCCCCTCCTGTTACTCTAACTTCATCCCTCATTTGTTGGCAATGTAATAAGCCTGGCTACATCAGCGGCATTGTGCTCATCCCACAGATGGGGAGGTGTCTCCAGGCAGATGGTAACCTTATCCTATCATAGGCCTTATCTCCTACAATCTCTGTTGATGAGCAGAGGTAGTTCAAGTGATGTTGTATGATCACCAAGTAAAGGTTCTCTAGCAGCAGCTGAGACAATAGCAGATTTTTTTTTATCCTGTTGCATACATTTATTATATTTTTTATTAATTCCCCAGATAACAGAGGAAGGATTAGCAAAATGTATTATGCTGAGATTACAGTTGAGATGGGTTCATCCCCACATCAGACATTAATTTGTTTACTCTTTTGGGTTAACCTTTTAATTCAAATATTATTGCTTCAGTCTTTTTTCAAGATGTAGGATAATTTTTGTCTATAAGCCATTATTTGCATGCCTCCAATTCAGATGGCTTACATTATTATCATTTTGGATCTTTACCTTACTAAAAAACATTGTCGTCAGCATACAACATGTTTTAACACTAATGGGCATGTAATTTACAACAAAGGAAGAGATGCTCCATTATACAAATCTGGGTAATCAACATAGATTTGATTTGTTGCTATTTACAACTTCAGTATTTTTCATGTTTGTTAAAAGATTTAAACCACTATGTCCAAGGCTTTTAAGAGTCTAACATTATTTTACATGTATGTATTTTCATAGTTTTGGTTCCTGATGTGGTCAGTGAGATGGATCAAGTTGGTGTCAGTCAACTGATGGCCCTAAAACCTGACTGGTAACTGTACAAAATATTATAATCAAACGAGATATCTTTCCACCTGAACATACACTGCCCTCAAATTTTAGATACAGTACAAGATGCTAACCTCCATCAGACCTGTCGCACTTCTTACAGATAAGGTGTTACTAAAAGCAAACTTACTTTTCATCTGGTACAGTATTGGTACTAATGAAAGATTAATTAAATATTACTGTACTGGTATTGTTGATATCATGGTACGCTTCATCTCTAGCTTCTGATGGGATGTTATATCTTAAGTCATTTATATTTCTAGGAACAAATACTGTACTCTGTATCCTTTCTGTGCTGGGATTTTAAAAGCCTTTGAACTTACCTGTAATTGTTTGAGGGCTATCACAGCTAAATAACTAAAAGATGAGGCTTCTGTTGTATAAAAGAATTTTAATAGTTTGCAAATTTGTGGTCACAGTTCATTATTAATATTTAGCATTACATTATAATGTTTTTGGCCATGTCCAAAGAAGTTTGCTTCAGAGCTTTTGTCAGAGTGTCCTCAGGGTTTGAGCAAAGTGGACTCAGACTTGGCTGGTACAACCTCAGCCTCCTGGTCTCTTGTCTGCTATAAAATAGGATTTTAGGATCACTTTCGACTTTTAAATACTTCTTCCCTTCTTTGAAGCCACTATAAGTTTTCTGGCAGTGCCAGATATTTATTCAGCAGAGGACCCATACACTGAGAAATTAGGTTATTGTGTGTATTAAAATAAAACAAATTATTTAACCATTCAAACATCTCACCTTTTGTTACAGTAGTTTGGAATTTGTATGTTAAGGCCTAAGAACACATACCCAACAGTTGGTAGATCTACTGATACTTCAATACATTTACTCACCTTCTGATGAAGATGAGAAAGGTTTAAGTCACTTTAATATCAATTCTGTTATTGTTTTTCTCTGTAGATCTTTGGCTGATAAAATTGAATTCTTGTGTGTGTGTTTTTTACCAACTGCTTGATTTATAGGCATCATTCATTGAGTCTTAATTTCTGCAGAAACTTTAATATTTCAGATTAAGTTAAATATGTTTGATGCTTTCACGTGAATCAGTCACATATAGTGTTGACTTCTGTATCATTATCTTACTGCATCCCCATAACATCGTATCAGCTGTCGGTTATTTAATATAAATTATAAATTATGCACAGCAATTTAGATGATTTATTGAACTATACAAACAAATCTTGTTCATAAGCCTTTATAGTAACTACAGTATGTTCTTTTTTATGTATAGTTTTTCTAATAAATCAGTAAACAGAATTGAAATTATTCATTCACATGTGTAAAAGATAAACTGATGATTACTTCTTTTCGACCAGAAAGTTATTTTATATTTTCTTTTCAATTTCCACTTCTTCAAAACATCATATCATCAGAACTTCAAGCCATTACCAAAACACACCACTCAATTTCTAGAGCCAACAATTAACTACAAACTTTTAATAATTACAACATGACTTCAATAAAAAAAAAACTATACTCAAATTATAATTTCTAGTAAGTGATACATTTTACCAAAACAATTGGTGCAGAGGCTCTTCTGGAGATAGAGATTTCCGGAGTAGCAGGCGACTCTCTCCAAATCTGGAAAAGTCCTCAGAATTTTTCTGGTATTCTTAGGAAAAGTTTCCAAGCGATCTAAATGCATTTCTCACCCAGACACTAGCCCATCCCCCAGAATGTTTCTTGGTGCTGGGGAAAATTTTTCTGAGTCTAAACTATACATCTTGTCTCAAATCAAACTATGCTTCTCATCATCTCGTCCCACAGTGACTATCGGGCGGTGTGTAAACTTCTATTCACAGCATCTGTCTAATTGTCTTAGAAATGAATTTGGTACCATTGCATAGCTATGTGGAATGCATTCCTGAGAATGTTATTTTTTTACCTATTGAGATATATTGTCTACAGTATTGTGCTGTATAAAGAATAATACTGGTACTAATAAACAGCGATCAATACAATACTTGTCTTTACTAATAAATAACAAATAAATAATGTTCTGTTCAATATTATCATGAATGACAATGTCATACAGTAGTAGAATGGGTGAAAGCGGTGAGAGTCAGGGGCATAGATGGGCTGTGTTTTAGCAAAGACAGTGGAATTTTTCCACACTTCACAGGAAAATTTTCCGCTTAGTCTAAGCGGCGCATCTCTGCGGAACTGTATTTATTTACACAAACATCACTGTACCGTGCAACATATTAATACTGTAAACTTAATAATATATACTACTATTAGTCAATTGCTCCTCTTTATCGGCGGGGGTTCTGGTTCTGTAGCGGCAGTCGATAAAAACCGTCGATACCGTGATGGTTCCGTAATTTTTTCTAACTATTATTATATATGTTGAATAAATGTGCCTTTAACGTGTCGTTTCCTTCCACATAACCTTAAATAATAGTGTATAAATAATAATATAATAAGTGGACAAAAATACTAGCAAACTTCTGATTTCATTTATTGAAGTGAACATAGGTCCTTACAATCAAACAAAACAGTGTACAGTACAGTAAAGGTCCAAAATCCGGATGCTTAAAGGCAAATTGTTTTACCATTATTATTACAACACTTTTTGAACCGGTACTTTAACAAAAATATTGTATTTCCATTCAGTTTTTATTCAAAGTCAATTGGAGGGAATATTATTGCTTCAACAGTTTTTAACTAAACCATTGAAAAGTGATTACGGTAACATCTTTTGAGCGAAAAGGTGCAAGTCATTGTTTTTTAAATCACGATTTTGATCCCACTTTCCACTGTAATCGTCGTCATTTCAACAAAAAATATTACATTTCTTGAATGTGATTATATCAAGCACAGTATGAATATAATATCATTGTAATATAACGAATTGAAAACTATTATAAAGAGTAACATCTCCAAGAACATTGGAAGGTTAGGTAAAGTCTTTTGTTTTAGTCATGTATTTTATCCTATTTTTCATTGATACGTCGCGTTTCCGTAAAACTACTATTTATTTCGAGAATATATTCATTCAGAAGCGTTTTGGGTAAAATATCGTGTGATGTAATAATTTTTTAACTGAAAGCGATTGAAAAACAGTAGCCTCTGGCCTGTTCAGGAGAGGACTGGGAGAAGCTGTGTGTGGTGCTGCAGGCGATGACAAGGAAAATGATTTTGATGGTTTTAATGAAAATATTCAGAAATATGGTGTCGTATGTTATTCAAGTCAATTAGGATATTAATACAATACAACAGTTTTTAACTAAACCATTAGAAAAGTGATTTGGTATCTTTTTGAGCGAAAGAAAAGCGTAAGTCATTGTTTTTAGTCAGCGATTTGATCCCACTTTCCTGTATCGTCGTCATTTCAACAAAATATTACATTCCGTGAATGGATATATCAAGCATTTCAAAATAAATCGACTAAATAATCCGTGATAATCGAAACCATCTCTATAAAAAATCCGTCGATAAGAGGAGTACTGTATTGTATGTATACTGTACCGTCTGGCCATCCCTGGTATATACAGTACTGTACTCACCAGCAGATGCTGTCATCTTGAACCTAGAGTAGGCAGATACTGTTCACTCAGCTGACTGTAATACGTAACTGTAATCACATCTTAACACTTGCGATGGAGGTGGTGTGGGGGATTAGTGGGTCATGCGACTGACCTAACATGATGCAATGTCAGGTCACCCATTGTCAAGGTGGGGAATTAGTGGGTCTCATGCCCTGCAGATGTCTTGAATAAAGATAAAAGCTATGGTGTTCCAGTGTTTCCCACTTGCTGAATGTACAGCACAGTATATGTAACTGTAATCACTCTTAGGTTCTTAACACTGCTGTAACACTATTCTGGTACAGTAATGTACAACACTGCACAACAAAAATTGTACACAAAAACAGGTTGCGAGGGAACAATCTTTTACAATGGCAGCAGAATATGAACTAAGATACCCAATTGTTGGAGCATGATGCAATCTCTCGGAACTCCTGGAAAATTTGGAGAAAATTTCTGAACGGAGAGATTTGGCAAAATTTCCTCGTTATTTCCTCATAAAATAAGCCTGTTTTTCAACCTCGGAAACTCGTTCACAGACCCGGAATTGAGTGAATTTTTCCCGAAAAATTCCGAGCCAATTTCAATTCCGGGAATTGGAGAGTTCCGGTTAATGAAGATATTACACTGTACTGTGATTATGATTTCTTTATTGGCATTTTTACACAACTTAATTTTTCTTCATTAATCTTGTTTTAATCATGCATATGCAGGGGAAGCAGACTGGTTCTGTGTCACTGTTGCTACTTCTACTTCTTTGGATTCTTTGTCATCAGGTGTAGTCTTGACCTCTGGCTCTATATCTTCAAATCTGTAAGTCTTTAAGATAGGCTGACGTGGTGGCATCCAGTCTGGGATGATCTTGTCATGGATACGCCAGGTTCCATAGCTGCTGGCAACATGCTTCTCAAAAACAACATATTCTAGTACATCCCGAGCTACAACTTCCGAGCCGTGCTGGAGGCGGCCAAATCGGTCATATACCGCCAAGGTCTACGTGATCAAAGAAAATTCAATATACCTGTAATTATGACACTGTCTCTCTCTCTTATTTCACTTTATTCGACTTTACTAGAAGAATAAGTCTCTGGGTAATGTCACATGCAGTAACTTGGAGAAAGAGCCAAGATGAAACATAATGATGACATTCATGACATACACTACATTATTTCAGACAATATTGTGTATCTTACCTGTTTAGTGTGGAAACGAACTGTAACTTGAGCAAAAACATTCTCTTTATTAAGAAGTTCAGTACAACGGGCGTGCACTACATGTGGGGGCGCCAAAGAACCAAGAAACTGCCATCTAATTGTCTTCTGGCGCGATTGGTGGGTGACAAGAGGGTAGGCTCGCTCTGTTACATTCTGATGGAGTCGCACCTTATCAAAGCTGTACAAAAATAATTTAAATAACTTTTATAATCTATTACAATCTAATGAAACTACAGCTTAATATTATTCTTCAAAAGTAAATACTGTACAGTAAAACCCTGAATACCGGACCACCTGAGTAATGACACGTCCAAATAACAACACGATTCTTGTAAAAAAAAAATTTTAAATTTCGAAAAATAACTTGTGTATCTTGTGGGGCATTGTTATTGTTGTGGAGCAACGAGGCACGTGGTCCCACTAGCAGAGCCTGCATCACAATAACACGACCGCACTGCACTCACTCTACATGTGGCTATTACTCAGTGCTGAAGTGCTGTTCTCTCGAGACATATAAATAACACACATTGTGAGAACAATGCCCAAGCAAGTGCGTTCGGGTAAGGCCCCAATAAGCAGGAAGCGCCTTACCATAAAGGATAAACTTAAGTGCTAGCCATGGTCAACAATATATGCTCTGTTCCCAAGATAATGCAGAAATTTGTAACTCTGAATTTACTGACAGCAAATTACTGTATAAGCGTTACCCTCTGCACCTCCACTGAAAGTGAAAGTGGGTCCCATACACACTCATATAATCTTCACTACATACATGTCGCCACAGCTGTGGCCGTGAGATCTTGATGACTATATATGTTGCCACCGATTCATGTAATGAAACTGTAAAAGTTGTGAGAAAATAATTTCAATACTCTAATGTATCTTAGAAATAAAGGAAATATAATATAAAACTATAAAAAAGAACAAATGAAAAGCATGAGTGTGAACAGTAGTCTGTGTGGGAGGTGAATGTATATAGGATTGCATCATGCTCTCCCCGATGTGACGTCAAGGCATACACAGCGCAGCAGCCAGGCATCTCTCAAGTCAGCTGGCTGGCTGAACACGTCATCTCTTGGCATCACCCATAGGATGGTTCAAGGGCAGAAATGGATATATATATTTTTTAAATATATAAAAAATATGTGCAAATGTATTTTATGTTGTATGTATTACAGTATTTTCATTGTTTATTATCAGAATTTTAAGTAATTTTTGTCAAGTGTAAAACATAGAATAATGAAGGATCGAACCTTTTCATTTATTACCCATTGTTAAATCTACCTATAACAACAACATTCACAAGAATGAAGTGGATTTTGTGAACATATCCACTTCATTGCCAGTGGTATACTGTACACAAATTTACATTATCCACTTATTTACAGCTCTGAAAGCTTCTAGAATCTAGAACCTTACCTACAACTACTGTATTAACACTTTAAATAAAATACAGCTTAATTTCCAGAAAGAGTATCATAAGTACGATTATTTTACTTGAACTAATTTAATATGAACATAAATAAGTCAATCTGTGTTAGTGTAATACGCTGGCTGTTGTTTTGAACAGTTGTGCCTCCCTGCTGATATGAATAATGGAGTCCGTCTGAGTAACGATGTTGCTGTGGCTTAATTACTCCGGTACTCAGGTGTTTTACTGTACTGTCATCACAATTTTTAGCATTACACATGTTTTGTATAATGTTAACTACAATCAACAAGTTGTATGAAGATGTCTTATGCGTATTATAGGACTCCCCTTCTAAAATAAGGTCCCACATCTAGCAGAGTCCCTGATTTTCTTTCTGCCCAACATCTCTTTCCTTTCCACATCTCTTCATGACTGCATTTCATTTGTGTGTTCCTAACTGCACTTTCACCATCACTTTGTATAATTATATCATTAACGACAGAAGTTTTGTTCCAGGCATTTGAAAAACAAAGACAAAACAAGGATGATATAACTTACTCTGCTAAAGCTTCATGAGTTTCAATATAGATCTTTTGTGCTTCCTCTGCAAACACTTTTGGGTCAAAGTCTTCATCGTACTGTCTTATTTTTCTAATTGCTATCATAGATTTGCCTTTTTTCTCCAGGAATTGAAACTTTTGCTTTGCTCCCTGTGAAAGAAAAAAAAATCGTGACCTGCTGCTATGAATCTTGTCAGGCTATACATATAAATGACTTACTCCACAAAATCCCTATAAAACCATCCTAAATATAATGTTTAGAGACAGACATCCTTTCATCTTCATTCACATATGAACCTCTTCCTACTGTCCACCTGCACATCATACTACAGCTTCAGATTGAAAGGTAATAAATGCACACCTACCCTTCTTAATAAAATCAAGGAGTACAGTATATAAAATGCAGCTACTTTATCCTACATCCAACAACTAAACACCATAATTAAACATTCACCTAAACTTGTAGTCAAACATGTAACAAACTTCAAAGGTCTTCATTAGTCCTAAAGGCAGAAATTTAAATTGATGCTGCTTAGGGAAATTTCACTGACAGAACTAACCCCATAATCAAAATTTGTACTAAAATTTTAATTACTACCTGCAGTATAATATCCCATACACACACTGAGGGACATAATAAAGGCACAACTGTTTATGCTGCACACCAAATCTAATTTACTCACTGCTTTTGATGTGGCAGATAATTTCCCATCACCCTCAGGGGGAACATAAGCCTCAAATGTTCCTGACGTGGAAGCTACGTATACAGGTTTCTCTTGCCATGGGCGGACAGGCTGGATGCCCTTCTCCTTCATCTGGACATAAGGAGTCATGTTGGTAATATTTCAACACTAAAGTGAGGCTGTACAGGTAGCATACTATCTCAAGATTAGCAAGACATTAACCTAACAATGATAAATTACATACTAATCATAACCAACATGGAAGGTCATCATCGAGCCAGTAATAAAAGGTGACAAAATTCTCCAGGTATTTTGGCTCACTAAATTTAATGATTTTACAGATCATCAACACAGTTTAAATTCAGTTCCAGCTTTAAAGGGGAACCAATGCAAATTAATTAGTAACAAAATATGGTACAGGTATTATAATACAGTATATTGTTACAATAAAATTTCCTCCTGCAAATACAATTCTTCAAAATGCCCATTAAAAGCAGCCCTAGTCTGAGGTAAATGACCTGACTTATCCCAACCAATTAAAATAAGACAAATCTCCCACAATTGTCTTATTACATAACCAGAGTGCCCCACGTATGACCTAAAAACAACACAGTGAATACTCTACTAACTTTGGCCCGTATTTCATCAGGAGTCATTTCTTCCACACTTTTTTCATTAAGGTTTGGAAGATCCAATTTGATGACCTGAAAATACAGAAATACAGTATAATGTACAGTAAATCACAAAGTAACTCCACAGATCATCAAACAACCATATCATAATGAATATTACATTTGACTATAAGTTTTAAATCAAGGCAACTCATTCAGAATCTTAATGCAACTATATGTATCTGTTAAATAAAAGATATAAACATGAATACTATAAAATTAAACTTACTACTGAACATGAAAAATACCAACAGAATGATGGAATAGTTTGGTAGGTTACTTAGGTTGGACTTTTTTGTACAATGCGTACAGTAAATCCTCGAAAGTCCGGACAATTTGGGGGGAATGGGGTTCTGAACTTGCCGATTGTTCAGACTTCTACCAAATGGGAGTTCTGAGGGCCACTGTGCACTAATCAGCCATTCACAGGGGCAGATCCAGGTATATCAAAGGGGAGGAAGGGGGTCCAAAATGTTTTGGGTGGGGGAACATGGCAAGCAAAGTGAGCCGACACAGCTGGGGGGTTTTGGGGGGTGCTCTAAGACCCCCCCCCCCCATTTTTTTTTAAACCTGACCAATATCACGGGCATTTTGAGGCCATTTTGAAGCCATCTGCACTTGATATTAGGAGATATTCTGAGGTCAATAGTAATTACTTTTTATTATACTAAAATCCCTGAATACAATACTGTATTAAAGAAAAAATATTGGAATTTTCTGATGAAAAGGGGGGTCCGCCCCACCCCCCCCCCTGGATCCACCATTGATTCATTAGCCCCAAGATGACCCTTAAATTTGTACTTAAATGTGCAACAAATGTCATGTGTTACCTTTTACATTTTCCTTTACAGTTCATTAAAAGATTTTTTTAATACAATAAAGTATTACCTTATTTCTTATTAAATATATACTGTGTTGTCTCTAATGGGGAAACAGTACAGTGGTCTGATCTGATGTAGGCCTAACGAGAGCTAATACAGTAGCTACGAGATGACACTTGGCGTGTAAACGTGCTGGAAGGGGCAGGGTTTGGGTGGGACTATTTGTTAGTACATTGACGTTTATTTTTATTTACTGATTATTGTATTCTCGTATGATCAGCCTCTTATGGTGTATGTTTCATCATTAATAATGTTAATTAATATAAAAAATACATTACATAATTTGTAATTTGACTTCAGAATAATGGAGACTGAGATGCACTGTACCAGGTGTGTGTGTGTGTGTGTCTAATAATAATAATACAGTAAACCCTCAATAACGCAGCATTTGATAACTCAGAATTTCATATAACTCGGCATGGATAAGATCTCAGAATGTATTAGTATAACTCAGGAAATGCCGAGATATGTAAAATTATCTGGGAAAATCTCGGCATATCTGGCCACCTACATCACCTACCATACCTGTCACCTACCATACCTCTGTGTCACCTACCATACCTCTGTGTCACTTACCATACCTTTGTGTCACCTACCATACCTCTGTGTCACCTACCATACCTGTGTCACCTACCATACCTCTGTGTCACCTACCATACCTCTGTGTCACCTACCATGATGATTCATTCTTCACCTACAGTGCTGTAAGTGTTACCTTTTTACATTTAGTAATTACATGTACACATATGTGGGTCAATATTTTTTTATTGTTCTATTTTTGTAGGAGAGGAGAAGTGCCTCGATAAGTCGGAGACCCATATGTGCCAAGTTATCGAGGGTTTACTCTAAAAATAAAATAATAATAATAATAATTATGGGTTTATTGAAAGAGCATGGCTGCCGGAAGGCTGAAAATATACAGTTACATAAATGGGGAATGGGTCACTTGATTGACAAATAATAATATACAAGTAACATAAGTGACACAAATATGATATATAATGACTAGGTGGGGAGAAAGATATACTTCAGGGCATTTTTGAAGGAGGATTGTTTAAATTTGAACAGCAAGATACCAACATAGTAAGATTCACCAAGATTATTAGAGGTATTAATGAAGCTCTACGATGCTACAGAGATTTATGATGAAAAGAAGAAAGTTTCAATTCAACCATCACAGTAAAGCCTCTGTTACTCCTGCAAATACCCATCTCTACATGCAAGCCAGCCCCAAGTCTCAATGTAAGTGTTAAACTTAAATTTTTACTTTACTCTATTTTGTCATTCAATTTCTTCTTTTCTCTTAAATTAAGTGATTCAAGATGTATAAAAGGACTTAGGCTATGATATAGTGCACATGAGGTATGTGTTCCGACTTAAGGACAGCCTCAGGAACGGATCCTGTTCGTAGCCCGGGGACCCCCTGTATTATGAGCAAGTCCATTATAAGAGTGGAGGAAAAAACAGCTCACTCATGGATCCGAGAGTAGGAAAGAGGCCAGGGAATTGCTCACTGGCAGCAATTTGATTTGAATGTGCATGGCAGGAATTTCAAACGACAAATAACTAACTAAGGGTTTGGACAAATCTTTCTTACCCAGAAAGGGTCCAGACTATTCGAAATCCGGACTTACATGGTTTGGACTTTCGAGGGTTTACTGTATACAGTATGTACATTCATGAGTTAATGTTAGAGTATTTGTTTCAGAGTTGCACTGTCCTTATAATATCATAAGAGGCAGGCAGTTTACTTCCTTACCTTCAAAGATCTGGCCTTCTTGAATTTCGGTATATAATGTTTCCGTTTGAAGGCAAAATTAGGTCTGAAGTGTTTGTAGTTGGGATCCTTGTAGACATAGTAGCTTCGACTCAGGGGAGGTAAGCAGACACTACTACTTGAAGACTGCAAGTGTCATTTGAAAATGTTTTAGTTCAGGAAAATCTTAGCAGTACAGTATTCTGGAGATACAAACACAACAATGGCTGTAGGTCTGGAGCTATGATCCGATATACTGTACTGTACTGTACTAACAAACCTTAAAAGAAATACAATAAATACTTTGAGAAAATGAATTAGAAAATAAAGAAAATAAAAGAGATATAACCAAGAAGGTTATAAAAATAGAAATAAAGTGGCAACCCCAAACATTAAAAAAGTTAGCATCTTACACTTCCCCAAGAGGAGACAAGAAAGCCATCTTCTATTTAACTACTACATAGTTATGGTCACGGCATTCATCTGTCAATGTGGACAAGTTGGCAGGGCATGCAAGTGTTCAAAATGCAACACAGAACTGATAGTGTAGAAGAAATATATGTTTCAGTGCAACAACCGATAGACCTAAAATTACACAATGCCACATCAAGAAAGTTGCTTTCCTTGGTACCATATAGTACTGTATATAAAAGTAAGGCTATTTTTACAGCTTATGCCCCACAGTAGTTATGAAATTTCTGTTATATGCAATCAATAGCTTAGACCAGGCATGGACGACCCGCTGCCCATGGGCGCATGTGGCCCAGACCATTTCTATGTGCGGTCCGCGGAATGAGCGAGAAATTCTATTTAATGTGGCCCGCGGTTCAGGTAGATTTGTTTTTCTTCACACATGAAGTTTATAAAGTCCAATCACAGATCCAGACTCACAGAGGAGCACCTGGAGGGCTGCCTCAGAGTTGTAACCTCTGACATTCCTCAAAATTTTGAACGATTATGTAGAAACATCCAAACCCAGGTATCCCACTAGCTACGACTGGTAGTACTGTCATAACCTCCTATCTCTGACTATAAAAAGTTGGACAATATTGTAACTGAGTGTAAATAGTGTCTTATATTAAGTGTCTTACTAACTGAAACCCTGACTGGTTGATTATATATTATCATTGATTTATATATTAGTGTCTCATAAAACAGAAAATATTGTGATAATATAAATTGATCTGCACCAAAATGTCATATTAATTCTAACCTTGACTGTTATTATGTCACGTGCATAATTCTATTACAGGTATTTCCTGATGTTGATCACCTTAAGTGGAAACACTGTGAATGTAAATTTTAAAGTAAATAGAAGTGCCTATAGGTTGTTTCATTGTAGTTCCTCATGCTGTAACTGTAGGAAAAATCAACATACAGTATTCACAGACTGCCTCACTCATCTTCTGTTAAATGCCAAGAAACATTAACACTTGACTTAAAAAAATATTATGATGGATTTATTTCATAAATGGGGAAAGATTGTGATTATAAACTGAAAATATCATTAAGTGGACGTGACGATAAACTGTTTCACTGTCCGTGTTAATGCAATATTAACATTACTTTTGGGTTGGCTAGGATATAAATTTTGGTGGGTTGGCCCGCAGAAAAATACCTAAATCATAATGCGGCCCATGACTGAGGAAAGGTTGCCTATGCCCGGCTTAGACAATTCTAAGAAACTTTTTTTCTATACCTTTTCCCACACAAACGATTAAGCACAGGGGTCTGGGAACGGAGCCCCAGCTGGTGGTTAGGTATGGTTTGATAGGTTGGGAGACAGACCTTAAAATTTAGTTTTTCCAATTTTTTCATTTGAAAAGTGTGTTTTTTCCTAAGGTTTTCAATGAGATCCAAATGATTCTGACCTTCGTTCATGCAGTAAATCACTTGTTTCGAGTCTCTCCCACTCAAAACCCCAATTTCCCACGCTCTCCCCCATTATTGTTATGGGTGAGAGGAAGCTCTCAGAAAATTTATTTGTGATGGAAATAAAGGTCAGAATCGCTTGAATGACATCAAATACCATCAGAAAAACACATCTTTCACCATAAAAGCTCTGTTGAGGCATAATTGGTGAGGAAGTTAGGTAAGGTTAGGTAGATTTGATTGGTTAGGTCAGGTTCTGTTCATTGTCGTTTACATGTTCGTGTTTAGAATCATAGGTATTACTGTATTATCGTATCGGTTCTGCAGCGAATTTTAGGAGTTTAAGTTACAACCGTCTGAGAGAGGTTCAGGTTAGGTTAAAATTAAGTTTTTCAGAATGTTTATTATGTTTTGAACGATTCTGACAAATTCCAAATAGGTGCATGACCAAAACGATAATTTTACAGTATCATCCAAATAGTGTCTCCAGAAATTTGGTACAATTCCAGAAACTCCTTTTGGTGCTAACTATCTGTTCCACCATTACCTTTGAAGTTCATTGATAAAAATGGGCGTATATCATAGACAATAACTGAATATGTTATAAAAAAACGACTATGAATTTTAGTCACCAAATATTGTAGTCAAAAGAAATGGCTTTCTTGGACAATAATTTGTTAAATAAATTTACTATTTACCATTGTCTGTGTACATACTGAACCAATGAAATCTTTTTTGATGATCATATTGCATAAATATCTATCAATTATTTTAGTTTCGGTTAGGTTAGATATAGTTTCTGGGTTCTGTGAATAGGTTAGATTAGGTTCGTTAGGTTATATTTGATTAGGTTAGGTTCGGTTTGGTTACAATAGGTTAGGTTGGGTAAATAAATGGATGCCCAAAACTAAATTTGACCCTATTTTTCTATATACAGCCTTTAGTCTTACTAATAATGTCAATTTGGAGAGTTGGCTGGTGATCCTCGCCGCCATCCTTCCCCTTCACGTTCTCTTCAATAATGTAATGTTGGATCAACCCCTCACACCTGGCACTGCTTATAATTCATCAAATTATATAATGACCACGAAGGAGTAGCGAGAGTCTTGTGGTGGTAGACTCAGGCTCAGACCCACCGGCAGTAACAAACAAGGTGACGTCACATAGTTCGTGTTCGTCAAGAGTTACTCATGATGTCATTGCACTGACTGACATATATATATACTGTACTATAGAGATATCTATTAAAAATATTATATAATTTTGTCCATATTGTCTCAGCATGTGAACAGAGCGTGCGGATAACAAAAAAAAGGTCACCGTCTAGAGTATTAGCTAAGCAGGGTGAGGCGCTCTAATCTCTGTGGGTAACTGAGGTTCCGTTGAGCAGGCACCGGTGTCTGGTGGCCCACCTTTGGGTATTTTCAATCAATTGACAGCAAGGAAACTCTACCTTCTTTGATTGACAGTCTCAAGCATATCTCGGGGACTAGACGGGGAAGTACCTCACTCTTAAAGATTGTGATGATCGACGGGTGATGTTGATTATTTTCAGTCTAGTGTTTTACAGCTTTCCACTTATTAATTACTCTGATTACTTAGCTATAATCTGAGCTAAGATTCTCTACCTGAGTATCCTGGTTCTGTAATATTAGTTTTATTACCATTAGGTGGATGACATTTGACTCCAATTTGGAAGTTATTTTTACCTTTTACTTCTATCCTCTTCACTACTGATCGGCTCGTTAGCCGCTTGGGCGATCGGTCACGTCTCTGTTACACACTGTTGGCAAGTACTGGGCATGCACCGGCTCCTGAATGTACCTGAACCTGCTCCAGTGTTGGTCAAGTCTGGTCTTGAAAGAGCTCACACTCGGTGCCGTCACAACACTTTCTGGTAGATTGTTCCAAGAGTTCACAACTCTCACACCGAAAAAGTTTGCCCTCAGTTCTCTGGACTTGTGGCTTCTTCAATCTTGAGTTGTGACCCCTTGTGGGGTGAGCATCCGCCAGCTCCAAGTAAGGACAATCGACTGAGTAGTGCCCCTTGAGATGCTTATGCACCTCAATTAGGTCACCCCTTGTCAGCCTGTAGTATAAGCTAGGCAAGTTCAGGCACTCCAATCTCTCAGGGTAGTTGAGGTGACGAAGTGCAGGCACCAGTCTGGTGACCCTTTTTTTAACATTTTCAACCAACTGACAGTCCCTAGCATATCTCGGGGACCAGACGGGGTGACAGTACTCCAGATGGGGAAGCACTTCACTCTTGAACAGGGGTCACCAAACTACTGCCCGCGACGTCAGTTCATCAGGCCCGCCGACGGGACTTGAATTTGCTTGATAAAACGTATGGAACACGAGACGTTGATACAATTTAAATTTAAATATTATGTTTAGAATACTAGGAGATCTTCACGCATGCGGAGACCTCCTGACTGCTATGTGCCTTAAATTTACTATTTTCAATTTTAGATTATTGTATCTAGATTTTCTTGTTTATTGTAATGTTTGCTTATTTCGCGCCATCCCAAGTCCTTCCCCGGCTCGTGGTAGCTCCACCTACGCTCTGACGTTACCATGGTTTCCATGGTATTGTAGTGGACGTCTCCCCTACAACTGCCTACAACTGCGTAGCCACAGCCACCACCTGCTACCGCCTTCCCTAGTAACCAACCAGATGTTACCTTATCTTAGCAACGGAACCAGGAACCGGCGACTTCTCGGGTTTTCCCAACACGACTCATAGCGGCTGCTGGGTATATAAGCTCTGTCTCTCCATTGAGATTCATTCTGACCATTCTTCTTGAACAAGTAACACCTCCTCCTCCGCCGCTGCCTGGCGGCCCTCGCTCCCGCCAGCGAGCATGGCGACCCACCAGCTGTCCTTCTCTGAGCTTCCTCACCAACCAGCTCTTTCATTCTGGTCTCTCTCCATGAACAAGCAACACCTCCTCCAGCAAGCTCCACGCTGTCAGCATTCATTCAACCAGGAGGCCAGCAACAGGCAACATCTTCTCTAACGAAGCTCCTGCACATCTACCTCCTTCAACACGCTACTCACCAAACGTCTCTACTGAGCAGCTCCTCACCACACGGCACCTCCAGCACCAGACTGTAAATCATATAGCTTATATTATACAAGAAAACCACCTTAGAGTTTCCTTCCATCCTGAGTGCTAGACAACATTAATAACTCTATACCCCTAAAGTATCTTTCCCGCCCCCAGATGCTTCCGGCTGTCAACACAGCTCCGACGCTCCAGAAATATTTACTTCTTTTTGCCTGTCATCCATTTTATAGGTATATAACAAGGATTTCTTTGTTTGACAGTGATAGGTAAGTGAACTACAAGTGTGATTAGAGGTCATAAAGTTACAAACATAGCATAACAATGCCATAGAAGCCTCGTGTTATTACGAAAATATTATCCCCAGCTCAGAAAAATTCCCCGGTCAAGGTGTTAATCGAGCTGGTCTCTAGGCTGTTTATTTAGGCCCGCCCTATTTATATATTTTGTAAACCTTATTATGTGATACATTCTATTACCAAAGGTACCTATAAACTTTATATGTACCTTTGGTGAGCCGTAGCTTCACCAGTGACCCCTGAATCCTCTGCTTTTCTTGTGTTTCAATATGATTTTAATTATGTTTCCAATTCAATGTCTTTTTCATTTTCAGATCCCTTTTTCTTCACCCTTCATTATGTCTGAAAATGCTGAAAATGAATCTGTCACTCGTACAATTTACAAAACAGTGCATAAGATGGCAGAACGAGGAAAACCGTTTACTGATGGCAACTTCATCAAAGAGTGTATGATGGAAGCAGCAAATGACTTGTGTCCTGAGAAAGCCGATTTGTTTGGAAGTATCAGCCTTTCGGCAAGTTCAGTTGTGCGGAGAACAGAAGAACTTGGAGAGAACATAGTGCTACAGATACGCGAGAAAGCTGAGAACTACTTGTGGTATTCTCTGGCGCTGGATGAGTCTACTGGTCTCTCGAGTACGTCACAACTTCTCGTGTTCATTCGTGGTGTCAATTTGGACTTTCAGATAACGGAAGAGTTGGCATCCGTTTGCAGCATGCATGGAACAACAACTGGAAAAGACATTTTCATGGAAGTGCAAAAAACTTTGCAAGACTATAACCTTCAGTGGAATCAGCTTCGAGGTGTTACAGTTGATGGAGGAAAAAACATGGCTGGAGTGAGGAAGGGTCTGGTGGGGCAGATCAGGACTCAATTGGAAGATTTGCAAATTCCGGGCACTCTGTTCATACACTGCATCATACATCAGCAAGCACTCTGTGGGAAAGATTTAGATATTTCTTGTGTACTGAAACCAGTCGTTTCTGCTGTGAACTTCATTCGGGGACATGCACTCAATCACCCTCAGTTCCAGGCTTTTCTTGAAGAAATTGATTCTGATTTCTGTGACGTGCCTTATCACACAGCAGTGAGGTGGGTCAGCTGCAGTAAAGTCCTGTTTCGTTTTTACAAGCTCCGAAACGAAATAGATGTTTTTCTCACTGAAAAAGATAAGAGCTGATCCACAGCTGTCAGATCCTACCTGGCTGTCAAAGTTGTCATTTTTGGTCGACATCACATCCCACATGAATGAACTGAACTTGAAACTTCAGGGAAAGGATAACCTCATCTGTGATCTCTACAGAATCATCAAAGGATTTCGGAGAAAGCTGTCATTGTTTGAAGCACAACTGGAAGGAGAAAACTTCTCTCATTTTCACTGTTTCAAAGAGTTTTGCGCTACAATCGCTGAAGATGTCAACCTCGATTTTCCGAAAAAGATTATTCGTGACTTGAAGAAGCATTTTTTGAAGAGATTTTCAGGTCTTGACAGAATTGAGAGTGACATTCTTCAGTTCCAGAATCCGTTTGATTGTAACCTTGATGATGTGCCAGTTGAACTACAGTTGGAGCTCATCGATTTGCAAGCAAAGGACTTGTTGAAAGAGAAGCACGGAGAAGGAAAACTTGTTGAATTTTACCGCTGCTTACCTGATGTTGAGTTTCCGAAACTGAAGAAATTTGCCGCTGGTATGGCATCACTGTTTGGAACAACTTATGTCTGTGAGCAAACATTTTCAAAAATGAAGTATGTGAAGTCAACACATCGAACGAGATTGACTGATGAACATTTGAAAGCAATTCTCTTGATTGGATGCAGCAATTCCAAACCAAACATTGATGATATCTTGAAAGCCAAACGTCAGTTTCACAAATCTCACTAACCTTTTTTGCTGCTTAGTTTGTGAGATTCGGATATGTGCACACTACTGTAGGTCTGATGTAACTATCTTTTTGCTAACGTCGCCTTCTTTGATAACTTTTTAGTAAATAAATATGTTGGTTGTCTTTGTTTTTTGTGCATTGCACGCCACTCACCCATGATTAACATGGAATGCTAAACTTATTTTTTCGTCTTTTTTCCCAGAGCTTTCGTACTGGCTTGCAAGTATTGAACAGAATGATTATGCGGCCCGCGCTCGTCATTCTTTCAGTTTTCCGGCCCACTGTGAAAAAAGTTTGGTGACCCCTGCTCTTGAAGATCGTTACGAGGGACGGACTGTCTAGATATCTGAACGACCTTCTTATAAGACCCAATAATTTATTTGCCTGATTTACCTTCTTCTCGCAATGGCCCGAGAACTTCAACTCATTGTCAATATACACACCTAGGTCCTTCTCACATTCAGTCTCAAATAGTGCAATTTCTTCATCCTGTTGGGACAACTTGTAATCAACCAGTGTATTCACTCAGTCAATCTTACCTTTTTGCACTGTTACCATGTTGAAATGCCCTGTAGTTTGAGTTTCTCCCCACCTAGTTATTATATATCATATTTGTATCACTTATGTTACTTGTATATTATTTGTAAATCAAGAGACCCATTGCCCAATTATGTAACTGTATATTTTCAGCCTTCCAGCTGCCATGCTCTTTCAATAAACCGTTAATTATTATTATTTATTATTATTAAAATGACAATTGGTTCTTATCTGGAATTAATTCTGAATCAATATTTTTTTTTTTTTTTGCAAATTCATATTGATGGAGACATAAGCCATTAAGCATTAGGTTAAGTTACAATAGGGTTTGTTACTTTTACTTGATCCTCTTCAACTGATCAACTTGTTACACACAGTTGGCGAGTACTTGGTCTTGTAGACCACATTTTTGACAAATTCCCATGGGAAAAAATCAAGGTGGGTTATGTCTGGTGATCATGGTGGCCCAAACTAAAAATTTCCAGGTTGCTGGATTGGCCAAGGTGAACCAATCGAGTGGCCACCACGATCACTGGACATAACCCGACAATAGGAGCTAGTCTATATCCTTGCCGTGTGTATGACAAAATCCTCTTAGAGAAAACCTCCGTAGGACAATATCCCTCAAGGATAAAAACCTAACCTAACCTTTGAGAAACATTAATATAAAAAATGGGGTGATTTTTTCAACCCCTCATCCCCCCCCTGGATAAATTACAGCAGATGCCCATGGTGCCTTTCATTTTGATATGTAAAACAACAGAAAACCTTTTTATGGAGGTGATTTGACTGGGTCTCAATTTTGATCCTCCTCCGAAAGAATGAAGAAGAAGAAAAGATGCTACTGTACTACTGTATAATATAAAGTATTTATTCTTATGCTTTAAATGATCTTACAACCTGGTCTCTGCCACAGACCCACTTCATGAAACATATAAACAATTACAAGAACAATACTTAAAAAAGTTGACAACTAAATGGAATAAACATGATCACAAATGTCATAAATATAAACAAATATAATGAAAAATGATACAATTTACACAGAATAAACTGAAATACTGAAATGTAATATACAAAATACTGTACTAATCGATATATGATTTGAATATAAGCATAAAATATATATAATATTCACATCATATACAATGCAGTACAATATTTTGTTGTGTTGTGCAATATGATGACACAAACAATACAACACATCATATGAATGAATACCATTTGAGCTTTGGGTAACTACCTCTCATTCTGGAATTATGTGCAACAAAGAATTGTGCCATCTGAAGAACCATCAGAACACATACAAGAGTTCTCTCCCCCCCCTTTTTTTATAGATTAATTAAACTGAAGCTAATTAAAAGATAAAAGAACTAATCTTAGTCAATAATGTCAAAATTAAAAAGAAATCTTAAACAAAACTTTACATACAGTATTTACACTGAGTATGATACAGTGTGGTACAGTGTGAGGCTTCTGAAGCACAAGGCTGGATGGCATAAAGCAGGTCAAGTGTATAACGAACCAGGTTTGTTTTTTGACATTAGATTACGTAGCTAATCTTTGGGTTGTTTGCACCAAAGATGCAGCATCTAATGACAAGTATCTCCCAGACCTTAATGTGACATTTACATTCTAAGTCTAGTACTGTAGTCAGAATCTAATGCAGGATACCCCAAGCTATCCAAATGGAACTCCGCACCCATTTCCTTCCCAAGAATGCATACAACTACTGTACAAAATGACAATCAGTATTGGATCTCAACTTCCACACCAGCTGTCAAGATTCTCAAGTTATTATGGATGCTGATTTCATCTTGTGAGTGAATAAACTATGGATGCTAAACTAACTCACAGCTAAGAAATTCTTGAACTATTCATGAGTTGTTTATTCAACCTTACAAAAAGAAAATATCTTAATATTCCCAATTAATCATTAATAAACTGTACAATAGCACACACTTGGAGACCTTGAATAGTACAAAACCCAAGTCTCACTTTATGGCACAAATGCACTCCTGCATCACTTTTTGAAAGACTTGGAATTTACAGACAGCTGACTGCTGGGATAGTTTGGTCATGTTGAGTGGAGACAACTTGTGATCATTAATATTGTACCAACAAATGAAATGATGATCCTCAGAGACTATTCCACTGAAAATGTTCCCAAAAAGTTAATTGATAATACTGTACAAACATATTTTGGATTCACCTGTTGACACTTAAATCTGCATGTCACACAAATGCATAAAAAGCTGCATCATTCATGGTATCCATATTCATTCATTAGAGTTACTTTCAAAACTGAAATGTGTTGAGGTTAAAGCAGAGAAGTGGATATTGAACAGCCCTTGCTTCCTGTTCTAATGGTTTGAGCCCACAGTCACCCAGCTGCAAATGGGTACCTAACTTTATATTTGAGGAAGTGAAGGAAGTCAAGCACAGGGCCAGCCACACTGCCTCATTGTGTACTAAAAAAGGCTTGGTCTACAGTTTGCTGTATTTACACTGCTCTTAATGGTTTATCAGGTCTATGGGACCACTTTCATTGGATATATGTTACTTCTTTGTCCTTCACTATTGACAATTTCATTTATGTTCCCTTTACTGGCCTCTTTACACTCACCCTTCCCTTCTTAGTCTACTACTTATTAGCATCTCCCCATTTGGCCTTCATTTTTTTGGAACAAGTCCAAGAGGAACAAAATGCTACCCTTTTATTGTGACAACATCACAGAGATTCTATGTGCATGTTCTGCTATGTAGGCAATACAAAATAATGTGATTCTAACAATACAAAGATTTTTCAGCAAAAAAATTAAGTGTAAAGTTTGTTATTCTTCAGCTCATGTTTTTCCTTATAAGTGCTTTATCTACATTATTAATTCTTACTCTCTTTACCAGGGCATCTTAAACACCATATTTCTCCAGCACTCCAGAGTTCATGTGATAATTAGTTAAATGAGCCTCAGTCCAGCCTATTCCTTAATATTAGGGGTGCAGTTGTAATGGGGATCAATGGGTCCCATCTAACAGACCCTAATTCTTATGGTCAGGTTAGGGTCTAATAAGATTGGGGGACATTTAGCCAAAACCTTCTAGACACTGAAATTAAATATCTCTGTACACTAATTTTTAACAAACAAGAGCAATATTCAACTATTTAAAGATAAAAGTATGCAAGACAGGATGGCTTTTTGCCAAGTTAGTCCTTTTCATGAACCAAAATTCATTATAATATGAGACCCAAACTAACAGTGTCAACTTTCCACTGCCTCACACACAAAGCTGCAACAAGATATACAATACATGTAGTAAACTGGGGTATACAATACAGGGTACATATTTTTTCTTTAATGTTTTTCTCCATTAATATCTATATAATCAATATACAATATACAGATACACTGTACTGTATATAAAACAACACCTTGAATTTTCTTACCAAATGTGAATATTCTTTCAAACTTTTTTTAACATTCCTAAAAATATTCCTCAAGCAATTCAAACAATATCATGCCCATTGTATATAATTCGGTTCAAATTAATAATACTGTATAATATAACTCTACAATTTTCAATCCTCCCTCTCTGGTGTGGAAGACATAAAGTGATCAAAAGCCTCAAGCAAAAGTGGAAATAAATAGAGTGTAGAACATGGCAGGAGAGGGCTATGTAGACACACCCACACATACTTAGGACCATAAAAATAAATAAATAATTAAAACAAAAACTGACACATATAGTAGTTGTTCTTACCACAAAAGACACACATTGACAATCACTTGGTTACGTATCTTATTACTATTATGTTAAGATCAATACATTATTTACTGTTGACCACAAATCATCACAATCGGTCAACAATATTACACACTGTTCCTCACCAATGATGTCATCAACTGGCTATTTCATCACATCATGAAACACCGAGATAAAAAAATATTAATAAATGAACAAACACTGGCACAAAATACACAGATGATCCCTTGGTCAGCTTTTAGTGACCTTGATCTTTGGCCTTGTGACCCTAAAAAAAAAAATCGTTTACCACTGAGAGGTAATGATGATGCCTACTAGTTTTCAAATCAATCCATCCATAATTGCAAGACTAATTACACAAGCTAGTTTAGAGTTAACACACCCACAAATATATCACATGGGTGACGACAACAACTTGTGTTTATAATTCACAGCGATCATGTTAGTTTCAATGTTCTGGTCTCTGTTGGAAGAAGCATGAGACAACAGAATCCTCATATGTAAAGCCTTCCAAATTTATTCTCAGATGATAATTCCACATATATTTCATTAAAATCTATGTCTACAAAATGATATACAGTCACTCAGATGATGCATAATTTCATAAGATCATAATATTGAATAAAAAAAAAAAAAGCAACATGCTCAAAATGACAACAACTGAACGACTCAATGTTTGGATGGTGTAGAAGTGGGAGGTGTGGCGAGGATAAGATGTCTGATTTGCTGAGGATTAACAGTGAATATAGACTAAAATCCAAGACTAAAACACACCTGAAGATTGTCAAGTACCTCAGCAACTACATAATGGGAGTTTCCTACCAATGAATAACTGTACATGTATTAATACCGAGTAATTAAACTTTAAAGAAACCACAAATTGCACTAAGGTTAATTTCTTGACATCACTGGTGCATCAGAGATAAGAACGGTACAAAAAATTAACTTGCTTATTCTCTTTAGAAAATAAGTTGCAGGGGATATACAGTAGGTTGACAATCCCTTATCCGAAATCCTTGGGGCCAGATGTGTTTCGGATTTCAGAATTTCTCGGGTTTCAGAATGGTTAGGTTAGGGTTTTTTTTATTTTTGCAGGGATCAGCCCACCCGGGCACAGGTCACTGACTCACATTGGGGTCTGGGGAGGGAATGTAATAATAATAATAATAATAATTCATAGATCTAGGTTGTGTTTCTCACTTTTGATCTTTTTTCATTCTTGTATTTCTTATTATTATTATTATTATTATTATTATTTTATTATTATTCTATTATTATTCTATTATTATCATTATTATTATTATTATTATTATTATTATTATCATCATCGTTATCATTATTATTTGATTTTTTTGTATTTTTTATTATAAATTTTATTTACTATGAATTATTATTATTATTATTATTATTATTATTATTATTATTACAGTATTATTACAACATTTTCGCCCCCCAGGTCCCAATGTGGGTCGGTGACCTGTACCCAGGTGGGCTGATCCAGGTTGGGAAAAAAAAAAAAAAAATGTTTTGCTCCAATAAAAAACTTTCGGTTTTCGAAATTTCAGATAAGGGATTGTCAACTATTACAGTACAGTCCTTCTTAATTGGCAAAGTTACATAAAAAATATTAGGACACATACCTGCAAGTAAAAAAATATCAAGTTTAACAAATATGTTTTTACTGATGACTGCTCATACTAGTCTGTCAAAAATAAAGCAGGCAACATTTTACAACCTTGCATTGTTGAAAAAGTAAAAAAAATAAAAAAAATAAATACATCTGCAAGGTGGTAGTGTGGTAATGAAGCAAACATGGCTAATTGATGGAGCTTTATTTCTGACGAAATTTCAGGAATAAAGCTCCATCTCTTAGTCGTGTTTGCTTCACTACCACACTACCATGTGTCCACGGTGAACAATGTTCTTACATCTATAAATAACATGACATCTTAAATGAAAACTTTCATTCCCTATTTTAAATTACAGTACAATATAGTATTCACAAATATGCAGTGTTCATGAAGTTCATAGAAATGAAGAGCAATATAGTGGACACCAATTACATATTAGGATGATCTGAACACAATAATGGCCATATTGTAGACAAAAGGACGATGTTGAAATTCACTAATGCTATGGTCGGCTACATTGACAACCTTCTCCTCTAATGGTACTGATCTAAGAAGCAGTGAATTATGGCATGCAGTGTATAATCACAATTCCATTCTTTTTTAATAATTTAGATCAAATGGCACTGAGGTTTAGGATATGCTGGTAATCATAACTGGAGTTTATTCATTCAACTTATCTCTACTTTTTCATTAATTTTCACCTTCACTAGATGCTCAATACATACCGCACACACACACACACACTGTACTTCACAGCCAATAACATTACCGTCATTAAGTCCCATTGTAACCAAAATTATTTGTTCTTTTTTTATTGTTTATTTTAAAATTCTACAAAATTGTTAGTCTCAAATTCAAGTTTATTTAATGCATTACCAAAGACTGGACAACCACTAAGTAAGAGTTTAGTCTCAACCAGTAAATCATTTGTCCCAATAACAGATTTTACTAATTCTAACGCCCAGTAATACACAATTTAACACCAAAGATTGATAATTTTCAATCGCTAAAGCAACTTTTGCTTTGAGGCAAATTAATTCCTCTGCACCCAAAAAGACCCCTTCCACCAAATACTGTACAGTACACAATAATTTTTTTTAACCAATTTGCATAATTCACACAGTTCAAGCTATTGGAGGAGAAAAACTGGAATCCCCCTTACAAAAAAAAAATGAAATAAAAATAAATAATAAAACTGAAATTCTCCTGCCTGATAAGGTTGCTTGCTTCTGTACCCAAGATTAACACTCAGGATCATACACGCATAAGTGACGTTTTGATTTATGTAAATTAAACTTTTGCCTCGCCATCAGACATGCCATTACTTCAAATTTTAACGTCACTTTTGTCACACCACTCTCTTGCACAGAGCCAAGTCATAATGCTAGGTGGCAACTCATCTATATGCAGTGGACCATGTGGTAACAGACAACAAATGCCCGTAATACTTCTGCCTCAGTAAGCAGTGAGTGTGTCGGTCCCAGGCACAATTTAAAAATGGCCACTATCTCAAGATATTTATTACTTACAATCTCGATATTTATTCTTATGAAGTGATAATAAGATGTGTATTGAAATGTTTATAAGGAAATAGTGAATATTTTTTTATTTAAGAGATGTTGGTCAAATAGCGGCTATTCACAATACAGTAGCATATACCAGACAAAAGCATGCCGTAACATATAGGCCTAGCTTGGAAAAATAATATGTGATAGTGAAATGTAGTGCAGTAGAGGCATGCATATGGTGAATTATAATGAATATATTGTGACTTTTTATACACTTATTCGTAATGCCATCACCATTGATGTTAGTTTTGTATTGTTTATTTGTTACTCAATGAAGATGCTTGATAATTTTTTTTTTTACCAATACAGTATTTGCAAATTCTGTACTATGATTCTATTTTCCAACTTTCCCTACATTAATTTCAATAATGTTAATTTTGTGAGAGGATTAAACCCTAAACATTACTATAGAAAAGGAAAGAAACAAACAAAAACATTGTTTGGTACAACAGGTTCAGTCGAAGGCCTGGCTGAGTATTAAGAAGTGGAAAATGTCACAACAACATAAGAACATAAGAATGGAGGAAACTGCAGCGGGCCATACTGGACAGTCCCATTTGGACCCAACCCCTATTGCTCATTTATCCATCCAACCTATGATTGAAGCTATCCAGCGTATTCGAGTTAATGATGATATTTGGTAACTTGTTCCACTCATCCACTACTCTATTTCCAAACCAATGTTTACCTATTTTGCACCTAAATCTAAATTTGTCTAATTTGAAACCATTGTTACGAGTTCGCTCCTGGTTGGATAGTTTGAGTACCTTTGTAATGTCCCCTTTGTTTAGCTCTGACTTCCATTTATACACCTCTATCGTGTCGCCCCTCACTCTACGTCTCTCGAGGGAGTGCAAATTAAGATGCTTTAACCTGTCTCTGTACTCAAGGTTCCTAATGCCTGGGATTAGTCTTGTCATTCCCCTCTGAATTCTTTCCAAGGATTCTATATCCATTCTGTAATAAGGTGACCAGAATTGAACTGCGTAATCCAAGTGAGGTCTTACAAGCGCAAGATATAGTTTTAGGATGACCTCGCTAGTCTTGTAACTAACACTCCTTTGTATGAACCCAAGTACTTTATTAGCCTTGTTTCGAGCAAATATACATTGTTTACTTGGCTTAAGATTCCTACTTATCATTACTCCTAAATCTCGCTCGCAGTCTGATTTCTTAATAACATCATTGTTCATCTGGTATCTGGTTTCCCTGTTTACATCTCCTATACTAAGTACTTTACATTTGTCCACATTGAATTTCATCTGCCATTTCTCAGACCATTCGAAAAATTTGTTTAGATCTTCCTGTAGTTTTGCGGAGTCCTCGTCAGATTTACAGTAATTAAACGCCCTATTTTAGTGTCATCAGCAAATTTACTTATGTTGCTGTCTACGCCGATATCTATGTCGTTTACGGTATGTATATAATAAATAATAATGGTCCAAGTACTGAGCCTTGGGGAAATCCACTAGTGACGTTGCTCCAATTGGATTTAGTGCCGTTAATGCCTACTCACTGTTTCCTGTCCTGTAACCACGCCCCAATCCATTTTAGAATATCTCCTTTAATGCCATGACCCTCCACTTTTCTTATTAGCCTTTCGTGGGGGACTCTGTCGAAGGCTTTGCTAAAGTCGAGATATACCACATCATAATTGTGCCCCTCGTCCACTGATTCGAAAACAGATGAAAAGAATGTTAATAGATTAGTTAGACATGAATGCCAGCTTGTGAAGCCATGTTGGGAATCATTGATCAACTTGTGCTTCTCCAGGTGATTTTGAATAGAGTTTGCCTACAATTGATGTTAGACTGATTGGACGGTAGTTAGAGGATAGTGATCTATCTCCTTTTTTGAAAATCGGCATTACATTTGCTATCCTCCAGGATTCTGGTACTACACCTGTTTTTAAGGACATGTTAAACAACTTTGCTAATGGCATACTAAGCTCTTCCTTACATTCCTTTAATACTCTGGCAAATATCTCATCGGGACCTGGTGACTTATTAGGCTTTAGTTTGTCTATTTGCTTACTAACATCGTTACTAGTCACCACTATCTCGCTTAATTTATTTTCTTCACTATCTCTGTATAGAGTCGGTGCCTCGGGTATCATGTTTAAATTTTCGGTGGTGAAAACTGTTGACAAATATTTATTCAGATTATTGCTCATTTCTCCGTCGGTATCTGACTGTATTGGTCCAATCTTTTCTCGTGTTTTAGTTTGATACATTTGATAGAATCCCTTGGGGTTTGACTTCGCCTCCCTTGCTACCTTCAGCTCATTATTCCTCTTTGCTTTTCTTATCTCGGCCTTAACCTTATTGGCCAATACTTTATAATAATCTCAGAGGTAAAGTTCACACGATTTATTCTCCTACCTATAGCCTTCCTTTGTCCAATAATGTTCTTTAAATAATTATTTATCCATTTAGGGTCATTGGTATTTGATCTGAGTTTTTTGTATGGTATGTTTTGCCTTTGTGCATTAAGTAACTCAATATTTAAATTGTCTTGGAACTCTGCAACCTCAGATCTCGTTATCAGGTTAATCTCAACCATCAGGTCTCCGGTAGGGTGAGGTTGCCCTCTGTAGGTACATTGAGTGAGGTTACCTCATGTGAGGTCATGTAATTCACCCCCAAGCGTGATACCCCCTCTCTCAGCTGCCTCTTCAAACTATCAAAGTTTGCCCTTCTGAAATCTGGGACTTTAGTGGAATCTTCCGTGCGGCTGTCCTGAAATTCTAACTGGAATCTAATTTCTTTGTGATCGCTGTTTGCAAGCTCGTTCCCTACCTCGACTTTACTAATGAGGTTTTCTCTGTTCGACAGAACTAAATCAAGTATATTATTACCCCGGGTGGGTTTGGTTATATGTTGACTAAGGAAACAGTCCTGTGCATTTCATCCCAAATAAGTCACTCATTAACTCTATCAAGATTAGGAAGTCTATATATTACTCCTGTGATTAATTTTTCCTTACCATCGGCTAATTCTATCCAAATTGTGTCTGTATTCCGCTCAGTTTTGATTTCCTTATTTATTTCACACTTCAGATTATCCTTGACATAGATTGCTACTCTGCCACCTTTCCTAATCTGCCTATCAGTATGAAATAATTTGTAACCTGCAATTTGGCATTTGACAGGTAACTCACATGAGTCTAGGTTTATCCATGTTTCGGTGAATGCTATTATATCGATTCTTTCGGTACATACCAAGGTCCTAATATCATCCATTTTGTTTCTCATACTTCTACTGTTTGCGTAGTAGACATTTAAGTTAGTCATGTTCTGAGTCCTCTCTGTCGTGTTTAGATTTTAACTCCCTGCCTAATTTAGTTTTGACATATTTCCGAGCACCATTTCCCTGTAACCTTTCACTTTGTTTACCCGCTCCCACTGCAGTCCCCTCCACCCCCGTGCTCATATGTTCCCCTAGCAGTTTAAAGACTTTGACATCTTTTGAACTGCCCTCTCGAGAGACCCAGCCAGGGTTGCC